TCCTACGATGACAACACAGAGCCTGTCACATAAGCTCTTCACCAACAGTGCCACATACCTTGCTTCAGCCTTACCATCTGTGGCTTTGGGCATGTTGATGTAGTTATTTTTCTGTCCTGGGCTTTGAACTCCCCACCAAGGTACATGGGAGACAGGGGTTGGCGACTCACTTGTAGTCACCACAGACTAGATGCCAAATACTGTAGGTGCAGCCAAATAGGCATAGGCTCTGACTTCAGGGAGGTGCTGTAGTCGGGTGATGAGGCCACTCCATCCCTCACACTCCAGCATCCAGACGATGGGAACTGAAGTAGGTTGAATTTTAAGTACCTACAGTTCCTGACTCTGGTCTGAAATATCACATAAACCCACATTGAGTGTGGACAAGACTTCTAAATACAGAGTGATTTTATTTTCCTGATAGGAGCTCTTTCAAGGCAGAGAGGAAGGGATCTTGCTGATGTTACTATGTTTGTTCCCCAATGAGTTGCCTTTAAGTTTAGGAACAGGGAATTTACTCTGAAAAATCCTGAGTCCATCAGATGGGCCTTTGAAAGAGATCAAGGTCAGAGGGGCAGAACAATTCTGAGGGTTACAGTCCCAGGATGGACCTCTCAGCATGGTGACTAACCTCTAAAAGCTAACTCCCAGGTTCCACAACCACAAGCAACAGAATTCTATTAACACCTCAGCATAAGACCCAGGTCTCCACTTAAGTTCCTGGGCCTGGTCTCCTTTTGATAGCAGCCTTCAACATCCTGACTAGAATTCCTGGTCCAGTCTCTGAATGCAGGGAGCTTGCAGCTAGCCAGGTATATTATCTCAAGCCACCAAGTTTGCAACAATGTTTTGCTCAACACTAGAAAATCAAAACCATTTAGACACTGCTGTGAATATTTCCAAGGCCTTGGGTCATCCTGTTCCTGCCAACTCAGGTCTAGGACCCAGGCACCTTACGAATTTCTTGCAGACAGTTCTTCCATCTGCCGCAGCAGAGAATTATTTTATCAGCTGCCAAACTGTTCCCAAAGTTGGTCATCAAATACCCTTCTATTTGCCCTACCTTTAATATAATTACCAGCATCATTTGCATGACACTGACTCAAGTTTCTGTCACAGACCCTACATTATTCTTAACTGCTTTTTCTGGAAACAGCCTCATGCAGGCTGCCTCCTCTCACACGAATTATCTGCAGTTTCCACACCTTTGTGCTTGCCTGCCGAGGCCCTTTATTAGAGCCAGGGCTGGTGTGGGGCTGGGGCATACCATCATTTTTAGTGCAGTCAGGACAGGCTCCCGGAAGCTGTAGGAGCAGCAAGTGGAAACTGGTTTTGACTGCGGTATCTGCAATGCGTGAATCTATTAGGACAGAACTTAGAGCAGGCCAGGGGTAGCAGACCTGCCCCTAGCCCAGGCTAGGGTATGTGCAAATGGCCTTTAAATACGTATGTGGCCATTTGGTAGCAGAGGCTGGGAGAGTCTTTTCTGCAACCGAAGAGGCTGTGCACCAACTCCAGGTGTGTAGAAAACAGGAGGGGATGGAGGGGTAAGAAAAGAATCCTGTGGAGGGAGAGGAGATGCCATGAGAACAGAGATATTTCATTCTCCATCAGCTATGTGCTCTCAGAACATTTGGCTCCCATGAGTAACCAGCTGAATCCCCAGGGGAAGGTGCTACAGAAGGTGAATGGGAAATGTCGCTCACTCTCTGACAAGAATTGCCCGAGAGTGATGAAGCTATCCCTCTGCAGACAGGCCCTGCTGTCGGCCCGAGATCCCTCAGGGGAGAATATCTCTATCCCAGAGGAGAGGATGTATATTCAGGGTACGAGTCTACGTGTGGCACCACCCACTGTGACCACACATCTAGGGATGCTTGATGCACCGGAAGGAGCAGTGAGTACGTGTATCTGCCTGGGCACTCATCTGGGCAGGACAGTGCATTTGCTTACCTATGTACACAGATCAAGGAGCTGTGGATCCACACACAGGTCTCTTGCATTTTCTCAGGGATTCAAGGAATTATTTCTCTCGTCTACCCCAACACCCATACTTTGCAACTTCCTAGACCCCTGTGTTCTGATCTTAGAGTTAGTGCGGCGCAGAGCTGGAAGCTCTGAGACCTGCTCTACCAGCAGCTGTAATGCCTTGGAACTGAAGCGTCATGTCTGATCCCGAGCCTTATGAGTGAGGGTTCCAAATCTCTTGCCCCTGGTTCCCACCTGTCCCTAATTCCAAACAGTCCTTTCCTCACTCATCTGTATCCACTGCTGGGCCTTGGAATGGGTGGGAGGCAGGGAGCAGTGAAGTGTCTGAGGGGTGCCTAGAGCCTCTGAAGATGGCCTTCAATCCTCCTTGCCTCCAAGTAGCTGCCCAGATATCTCAAGGGATTTCACGTGCACCAAGGCCATAGTCTGCACAGCGTGGCCCTAGGCAGAGAACTAACATGCATTTCCTTGTTTTTCAGTGTGCCCCAAGGTCTGGGAACCAGGTCCACGAGGTGCCTGTTCTGGTTGTATGAGTAGACACCTTGGGAGGCTTGCACACAAGGCTCAGGGTGGCAGCAGCAGCGGGGGCGAGGGTTCCACAGTGCTCCAGAGCACTCCCGGCTGTATGTTAAAGCACCCTAGGGAGCTTTCAAAAAACACTCCTACCCAAGCCTCTCCACAGACCAATTATCTAATTATCTGCGGTGGTGAGGCCTGGGCAGAGCCGTTTCTTTCAAAGCGTGTGAAGAGGTTCTGTGGAGAAGAACTAAGAAGGGTCCTTTCTCTAGCAGAAAGTGCCAGGAATCCTGAGCAGCCTTGGGTCTACGGAGGGAGAGAGAGCACACCAGAAATGTCAGCTCCCTACCACGAGACACCTGTGTTCTGGAAGGTGCAGCTTATGTCTGAGTGGCGCCAGGGGCTGGCCTGGAGTCACGGAAGGAGCGGCTGCCCAGGAGAGATGAATGCTGGGTAGGGTGGCCTGGCATCCGTCTCCCTCGATCCCTCATCTCAGGAAATTGAATTAAAACCCATATTTTTCAGTTGCTGCCTGCCCAGCTGGCTGGCTGGCTTGTGGACAGGGATGAAATAGTGAGCTCTTCAGGGTGGGGAACAGTGGGTGTGGAGGCCCCTCATTCTCCTTCTCTGGGAGGGAAGGCACCTCCACCTCAAGGGGGCTCTGGAGGACCATTGTCGTGGTGGTTCTTTAGCACAAACCCCCAAGTGGTTTTCAAAGCCCGGCAGCTAGAGTGTGGATGGTGGGCTGCCAAGCATAGGAGGTCAAAGTTAGAACTTGACCTGGAGCTGACATTTTGGGTGAATGAGCATAGAGATAACAAGAGATCCTGGCTCTGTTCTTGGGGTGGCCAGATGCCACTACACATGGGGCTGTATTTGTTAGGAGGACCAGAGACAGATGCCTGTGACAGGCACAGAGTAGCATAGGACGCAGAAGCTCATCCTGACCTCATAGAAAGATGGAGGGGGTAGATCACAAGACACTCCTCTGCTGGGGTATGGTGCTTGGTCTGGTAAAAAAAAAAAGCCGCCTTTGCGCCCCTGGGAAGTTAATCAACTAAGAAAAAGCTCCACATCTGGATGACTTCAGACCTACCTGGCTGGGTGTGTCATGGTTTTCCATCTGCCCTCTCCCTTATAAGCTCTATGGAGGCTGGGTGCAAGCAGGAACAGAGAGGCCTGACTGCCCAGTCCGTCTGTTGGGGACTTTCCTTGGGGCCATAGGCTTTGAGGCAAAGGAAGGACAGGTGTGTCTGTGTGTGAGCGTCTCACCTCCTTCTGCACAGCTGACTGCCTGGACAGAGGAAGATGCAGGTCATGGCTACCTTCTCAGACACCACGATGAGCACCTGGTAGCAAACATCAGACACAGATGTGAAGAACCAAGAACGCGTACTAACCCAGGAACTGGGTGCTCGACCTCAAAGTGCAGGACTTCTATGGAGGACGCTGACTGTGGCCATTTCTGGAGTGAGCTGCCTTCCCGTGGGTGATCCCATCTCCCCATTCCACGCATCCCCTGGTGCCAGTGTCCGGCATTTCACGCTTCAATTCCTATCTGGAGGTTCCCAGCAGCCATGCCTTCCCTTGTACGTCCCGCAGTTTACAGGGCACTTTCGTAGGTGACATCTCATTTGATTGGTCCTACACCAGGGCCGGAGGCCCAGTAGAGGAGCTGACCCCCCAGACTAGAAAAAGATGCAGTGCATTCCAGGGGGTGGTCTTGCTGACACCTGCTTAGCACCTGTGCTCTTTCTCTTGACAGAGAAGACTGGTATTCTCTACTTCTCTTCCCGCGGAACACGGTCTGCAAGGAACACAAGCTAACAGTGAGGCGAGGCAGTGGGGGCTGGTGCTTAGCCGGCTACAAGGGGGAATCATGGACGTGCTGTCTGTCTATAGGGCACTTCACATAACTTTTTGGGACATAAGGTTGCTCCTTATTCTGAGCCTTACTGTTTTCACTTGTGAAATGGCGTGTAAAATGGTCAGGTCTTATGTGGCAGGGTTCTGTCTGGCTCCCATCCCATGTTCTTCTCTTTCTTCCCGACCTTTCATCTTCTGCTCAAAGAAAGGCTCAAGTGCTTTCTCCTTGCCTCTTCCTCCTTGGGGATTCCTCAAAAGGCTCTCTGTACCCCAGTGATTGGACCAAAGGAAGGGTGGCCCAGAACTTAGCTGAATGATGGGGATGGGGAGAACTCACAGGATGCTCTGACTGGGGACAGTTACAGCCAACTGGGCGTGGCAAGACAGTTGGCTATGTGACCTTAGCCTGCTGAGTTCTGCTCATTAAGCCTCCACTTACCCAATTGTACCAATAACAGTAGTAATTTGTTCAGCCTCAGAGACTATATGAGGCTAGCATAAGCCTACTCCTGGCACACAGTCTGTCCTTACTCAATGCTGTTCTCATTACCCCCAGAAACAGGAACTATGAATATATGTAGTGCAGGGGAAGAAGTCGAGTCTCAGAAATGACCCACAGACCTGGCAAGGCACTTGCATTTATTTTAAGAGACCTCCTATACGCACCATCACTCCTATACAGGCTATAGAGGTGTTCTCCAGAGCGTCACGTTTGAGGACATCCACATAGACACTTGCAACCCAACGCTTGCAGACCCAGATTGTAGGCAGAGAAAGACCCAAAGAGCGCCTGGGACTTGCTCAGGTAGCAGGGTTGCCAGGGGAGGCTTGGAAACAGTGAGGAGAGGGAGAGGGTTTTCTCTCTTGGATGTTTTTGCGGTTGGACAAAAAGGTGGAGAGTCCTGAGGAAGGCTCAACTCAGCCCGGAAGCTCTGCGACAGAGCTGGGAAAGGGGGGCTGTTACCTCCGCCTCCGCGCCCTGGGTCTCTGCCGCAGCTCCTCCGGCTTGTGGGCTCGTGTCAGTGCGGTGGTCCCCATCCAGCTCCTTATCTCTGCCCCGGGCCTAACCCCGCCCCCCGGCGCTCATTGGCCTGCACCCCACCCGCAGCCTGCGAGGTCCGCTGGGGGAGGTGGTGGTCTGTCGCCTCCCTCAGCCCGGGGCCTGGCTGCGCAGCAGAGGCGGCGCCTCTCCCGCAGGACAGAGCGGGCCGCGCGGCGCGGGGCGGGCGAAAGCAGACTGAGGAGCTCCTGGCTCCCTTCCCCGGCGGTGACTGGCGGTGGCTCTGGACCAGCGTGGTTCCCGTGTGCACACACGCACACGCCGCGGCGCAGGGACACAGACCTAGCTGCCCGCGGCCACACGCACTCAGAGACCAGGCTCGGCGCGTGCTCCGCGGCTCACACGCTCCAGCCAGAGAAGCTCCCGGCGCCGATTCGCGGTCTGCGCGCCCTCCTGCACCTTCGGTCCCGGCGCCCCTCAGCCTGTCCGGGCCCTGTGACCAGCAGGTAAGGTCCACCACCCCCGGCCTGTCCCTCCGCTCCGCAGCGCACGCCCAGCTCCAGACCCTGTTCAGGTGGGGGCCCTTGGACCCTTCCTCCAGCCCAGAGGTCTCCTGCAGCCACATGCTACGCCGACCCAGAGCCGGTGAGGGGCACAGCGCAGAAGCCCAACCTCTCTGGCTGCCGTGGGCTGGCTAGCTTCGCTCTGCCCGATCCAAGTGTATGGGACCATGGCTTGGGGTTACCATACCTGTAGACCACTCAGTGGGGGATCGGCCTAGCTCTCTCAGCATTTTCTGGTGCCAGAAAAGAACATTAGGAACAGGGATGACACTGCGGCCAGAGGGACCCCAAGACATCTACCTCCCTGTCTCCAGGGTGGACCAACGCGCCTACGCGGATTTGGAAGGAAGACACCGGAGGGTCCATTGGGGGACTCGGTTCCACAGTCTGGGGGGGTATTTGAGGGGTTGTCAAGCTACGTACTAGGGATGGAGGTAGGGTAGGAACCAGTTTAGTTTGTTCCCCAGTGGAGATAACCTTTGAGACTGTTTAAAAAGGATAGCCCTACGGTTTTTCCTGAGCAGAGATGTTGAATGAGAGAACGCTTGGACTTTGGTGGTCTAACAAGGAAACGCCCTGCAGGGCCTGTGGGAGAAAATCGCTGCTGGAGTGGGCTTGTTGAAGTGGGTCCACCTGAGACCCCTGCTGACTGTTTTAAAGGCCCACAGTAGCTAGCTGCTCGGAGCAGGACTGTGTCATCCATCAGCAAGAGCATGGCAGGTTTGGGGGTCAGAGGCACCAAGCGCGCAGCAAGGGGACGGTGATGGCATTTCACTTGCTGCTAAGGAGTGGAGCATCAGTTCTCGAAGGAGCTAGCTCAGAGAGCCTTCTGGACCATCTTGGCCTGAGAATGAGCCTTGGTAATTCTTCAGGCCATTTCGGGGCTCATGTGTGTGGCTACTTTTCTTTACTTAAGGCTGTGTCCCATAGCCCCTCATTCCCCAAACAAAAAGAGAAACAGGACTCTGGGATTTTCCCGTGGCAGCTCAGGTGCATCCCTTCGAGGGTATGTGGGAGTTCAGAGCCCACACAGGGCATGTTGAGGGCAGTTTGCCCTGGGATTGCTGTTGGATTGAGGCAGACCATGCTGAAGGTCGAGCTGGAGGCCAGAGGGTGGCTGTGGGCATCGGAAGACAACAGGATATGGTGATGGAGCCTGCCGGGGCCCAGGGATAGTAGGTAGTTCTAGCTTTGTTCAGGAGGCCCTGAATGCATTTGGTGTGAGGGGCGGGTGAGGCTGGAGGAGCCCCCATTTCCAAATGTGGGCCTAGGACTCCTGCTCCTCCCTGACCTTGGAGAAAACAGGCAAAGGCTCCAGTCTGGGCACAAGCCAAAATCGGAACACACAAATTAAAGACAGGACATACTGGAGCCAGCCTTGAGCCAGATCTCCTGACCAATCCATCAACAAGTGTGTGTGTGGTGTGACCAGGAGTCAGATGCGGTTCCTCCCGCTTTCTGCCATCAGGGGTAGTTGGTGGGAGGTGGGGCGTCTGTCCTGAGATCCCCGAGGGTCTGTCTGTCTCTGTGTGGTGAGGGACATGTCTGTGGTGAGCCTTTTCCTGCACTCCCGAGACTGAGAGAGGGTAAAGCCTGCATTCCCATCCTGTTTTGTGCATATCTCAGGCTGGCAGGGGGCTGATTGGTGAAGCGCTCTGGAGCCCTTGTTTTTTGTTTTGTTTTTTCACACAGTCACCTCTGCCATGCTTCCACTTTTGGACATCCTTTGCTTCCATTGCAGTGAGTGGTGGATGCATTCAGTGCAGGTTTACAGATGGGTATACAGGTAGGACAGTAGATAGGGCCACAAGGTGGCTTTCTCACGGGGAAAGTGGCCTAGCGGGGATGCATTTCATTGCCCAGGAATGGCATTGAGTAAGTGAGGGATCCTGTGCTGCCTGCCCAATGGCAGGGCCCAGGGTGCTCAATGCAGGGTGAGAACTTCATTTAGGACCAGGAACACCGTGTCCACCTGCAAGCCACTCATCTTGGAACTGACCCTGAGGTGACCGAAAGATGCAGAGGGAACACAGGGACAGAGTAGTGATGCTCCAGGCAGGGGATATTGGGGCCTTTCACCCCAGAAGGCCTAGAGGCCTCAAAAGCTACCTGCCACTTCTGAATAGAAGGTACTGGGCTTCTATGCCTGAATGGATTGGACTTCATGTCCAGCTGCCTGGCAACATGGAGGCAGGGAAACCCTTAGCTGGGATGTGTTTGTACTGAGCTCTGGATGCCGTCAGAAGCACACAATGATAACCACCCCCACACTGACACACAGAGGAGTGATACACAGCTGGGTAAGCATGTAGGCTTCCCATGACACCTGCCTGGGATCTGAGATGAGATAGAGGTAGGCAGCTACAGAAACACATCCTCACACAAGATCTGGGAGCACTTGGTCACAAAAGCTAACCTTAATGAAGGCCTAGGTGTATGTGTGTGTGTGTGTGGTCTGTGTCTGTGTCTGTATCTTCTGTATCTGTGTGGTATTTGTTCACTGTGTTGCAGGAACTTAGACCATGGACTGTGGCTTTTTTTCTTTTCTGTAAATCTAGTAAATATTTTAGACTCTGTGACCATCATATTTGGTTGCAGAGGCCTTGTCCTGCTGTGTTAAGCTTGGAAGCAAACACAGGGAACACAGGAAAAGAAACTAAACCTGGTTATATTTTGGTAAATTTTTTGGAACCCAATATTTTAATTTCATGCAATTTGTATTTTGTGAAATGTGATTCTTTTAATTTCCTGGCCATTTAAAAATGCACATTTAGAAACCATACTTGACTCTCTGTCCAAAAATAGTGAACGAAGTGAATTTGACTGGCTGGAAGAGTCCTTCACTCTTGGGCTGGATGGTTAGAGGCAAGAAAGGATCCAAGAGGTTGAAGAAACAGGACATCTGGTCTCAGAGCTCAAGATGCCTGAGCACTAGTTGCTCCCCTTGGTATCCCAGAGGCATCTGTTTGTCAGTACTGGGAGAGGCCTCCAGTGTGCTCAGGGGACACCCCCACCCCCGAAGTATGGCCGGAGACAGCACACATTAAATGCTTCTGATGTTGTCTGAGCATGCCAAGGAGTTCCTAAGCCCCTTCTCCTGTTCCTCTTATGAGGGAGAAGACAGTTCAAAGCCTCACCTTGGATCTCACGGGGAACTTGGCAAGCCCTCAACAGCCTAGGGAGGGGCTCTTCGTTCAGAGCTGGGGACCGGAGGGTAGAGTGAGGGAGTAAGTGGGTTTTCAGGAGGTGGCATTCCAAGGGTGGAGTGGCCTCCGTCCTCCTGGCTCTCCTAAGATTCTCAGTCGTACCTGGCTCTTCCCACCTTCTCCCTGGCAGATGGACATGTGGCATACTGGCTGAGAGCACTGGCAGCCGCTGTGCGCCTTGGAATCTCTTCACTGGGAACCTAAGGCTCGGGTAACAGGCCTCCCCGCCCCCCTCACTTCTCTCTTGCCCTGCTGTCCTCCAAGGACCTTTCTTTCATGTGGCATCGTCCAGGGATACTTTTCTGTCATATCCCCCAGGTCTCAGAATTCAGCTCACTTTCCATCGACTTGGTCCTGATCCTGAGGGCGCTGTGGTTGCTCTGCTCGGTGGCCAGGGAAATCTTTTCTCTTGGTGGGGGCGTAGCAATCTCTTCCCACCCAGTACCACCCATTTTCTGATGCAGCCCTCCAGTGTCCCTAGCTGCTAGGCTGGCTCCCTCCCCTACCCTGGAGGTGACTCTGATGCAGGACATATGAGGAACCCAAGCCTGTATGTCCATCCCTGTAGGGGCTTCCTAGGGCAGAAGAGTTCAGAGTAGGGGAGGATGCAGAGAGACACCAGACTCCAAATGAGGGCCTGGACCTGCTGTGGGAGGAGTTGTAAGCGGTCTGGAGCAGAAACCACGCCCCCGCTGAGCATGGCAGATGGCCTCTGCTGGGTTTGCTGCAGTGAGGAGGGCATCTGAAGGGTCTGCAAATCCCTTCTTCTGACGAGGAACGTCTCAAGGCCCGTGTGTGAGTCACCAGTTCTCCAGTGTGCTGAGTGGTGATGCGGCTACTGTTGTCAGTTCCTGCTCTGCTCACAGCAGAACGGCTGGTGCCCAGGGAGGGCAGGCCTTCGCTGGATAGAGGGGTGGTATGTTCTGGGGTCTCCCAGACCCTCCAAAGCTCAGTCCACATCCCATTCCTGTCAGGCATATCCCTAGGCTCCACACCGTGTAACCTTGGGAAACACCTTCCGGCTCTGGTGTCAGCCTTGCCATGGCTTTTCAAGTTGATCTCAGGCAGGACTGAATTATTCTGTTCACAGCTGCTCTTCCAGAAGAGGGAAACAGGCACAGGTAGGCCTGCATCTGTACAGGCCAGTGGCAGCCGGCCCTAGAGGATCTGCATACCTCTGAGAGGGTGAGAAGTCACCAGGGGGTGAAGCAGACTCCTTTACGAGTGACAGAGTGGCAGAAGTCAAGGGACATGTATGTTTTGGAGCTACTTTCTAGCTCAACAAGGCACCTCCTGTGTGACCTTGGAGAAGCTGTACAGTCTCTCTGTGCCCCTGTCACCTCCCCTATAGAACGAGGTCCGTGCCAGGAGCTTCTTCATATGTGTCAGTCAGGCTACAGGAGTTGACAGGGTATTCAAGTTGGAAGAGCGCCCAGCACACACTGAGTGCTTAGTGAGTACTGGCTGTTAGGAGATAAAGAGCAGTCAGCCTGCTGGTCCCAGTATTTGTGACACAGGGCGGAGGAGACAGCACAGTGGCACAGGAATCATGAGCGCAGAGTGGGAGACACCTCACAGATGCCCGGCTGTGACACATGCTTGCAGTGCTGCCTTGGGGACTTTGCAGACAACGTGTAGAGGCCAAGCAGGAAGCCTAAGGGTCAAGGCTCAAACCTCCATGGGAAACACTAAGAGCATGGGGGCAAGGCTTCCCTGTTCCCAGAGCCACCTGCCTAGCACAGCCTGAACCCCAGAGAGAGCGCAGGGTGGGGCGCACAGTGTGGCCAAGTCAAAAGGGCCTGGTGTCCCTTCTCAGGGCGGCCCGTCGCATTCCATGACAGGGTCACTGGCATCTCCAAGGAGGGCAGCCTGGGCAGAGAGAAGCAGCAGGCTGGTGTGGCAGATCCAGGGCACACACATGTTGGAGGGCTGCCTGTGGAGGACTGTGCCTGGGCCCCACAGAGCACTGTGGGGTGCCCGCGCTAGGCGCTGCTGAGAAAGAGAGGGGACAGGACAGAAGCACCCACTGGGAAGAGCAGAGAGCCACGCTACGTGAGGCTTGCAGAGTCGGGAGGAGAAGCCAGGGCCTGGGCCCTCCGTGGTAGGGGTCATGTGGAGCGGCAGTACCTAGCTCGTGCTTGGTGGCTGCCCCACCTGAGGTTCTGAACTGTGTGCACTCATGGCTCCTGTGCTGGCACTCTGCGCATCTCCCTGGGTTTGTCCAGGAGACTGCACACAGAACCAAGGATCCCTGTCCGTTTCTGCAGGAGGGTGATGTGTCCGTGAGCCAGGAGTCTCCCCACAGCAGTGTCTTCTTTACATGGCTCTGGGTCTCCATAAGGGGACGGATGACCATATTTGTGCTATCAAATGGAAGCCTTGTGGATAAAGATGGTGCAGTATCTGTGACACGACATATTTTTATGCTCCTTTGTCTCAGAGAGGGGAGTAGAGAGACAAGGAAATGGGGAGACAGAATACCAACGCTGCCCCCCTCCCCAGCTCTCTGCCTTCATGTCCCCTCCACCAGACCTCTCTGTTCCAGGTCTCTTTGCCCCAGTGTGCATCCCAAGGTTCTCACACGGGTTAAGGCAGAACCACCATAAGCCCATCTCCACAACTCAACTGGAGGGCCAGACTGGCAGGTGGCCCCAGGCCGCACCAGGCTGACAGGGCCCGGGATGGAGAGGAAGTATGTGTGTCTGGGGACAGCCTGCTCCCAAAGGGTTTCCCTGGGGACCACAGCTCCATTTTGGAGTCTTCATCTTGAGGTTACTCAAGGTGAAGGACAGTCAGCCCTGAGCACAGAGGACGTCTTGTTCTTCCTGGTTTTTCTATCCTGAACTAGCTGGGAAAGATGGCTTCTCACTCTTGCTGAGGTCCCCAGAGCTAGATATTCCTCTATCCTAAGGAAGTCTGAAGTTATTTCTGCAGGCAGAGTCTGGGGCCTCAGACTGCTAGAGGTGATTGCGGCCTTTGGGGGAACCACCAGTGCTGAACCAAGGCTGCCCGTAGCCACCAGGAGTGCATGGGGCTGGGAGGTGCAGGAACTCAAGCCTGTGCGTCTGACCTCCAGCCTTCTCCCAGCCCACCCAGCCCTCCTTGCCCCCTCCCCCAGTAAGTATCAGCTATCTGAGGCCTCCTCGGCACCTCTGGGTGAGCCGTAGACTGAGGAGTGAAGAAGCCCTTCTGTGTTAGCGTGCTCTGATAGGGCTACTTAATAATCCTTCCCACAACACTGTAGTAATAACCACCACCACTCTGAAGGGATGACGGGACTCTGCTTAGCAGGGCCAGTGTGATCATGCTGCGGTGAGTAATCACATGTATGCTGCTTTCTGTCCAACGGCGAACCTTCCCCGGCGTAGAGCTCCTGATGGCAAGGCATTTGTATCGATGGTCAATTTGAGAAGCAGAACAGGCCCTGGATAGGTGCGAGCTTGCTTCCCCAGTGTCCCCAGTTGTCTGGAGCTTTTCTGGTCTCTTCTGGGGCCCTGGTCCTCACTCCCACACCTGTCCTTGAGGTCCAGCAGCACTAAGGTGTGAACGCACTCTTTAGCAGTCACTGAGGACAAAGTGTGGTGAGACAGGGTGAAAGGAAAATGTACTTGTCCCAACTATGCAGTGGGAGCAAAGAGGCCCTTTCAGAGTGAACAGCTGGTATGGAGTTAGCTAGGCCACCCAGGCTGGAGAGGTGTCTTGCTGCCACAGACTGCACAGTGATCCTGGCTTCTATTCCAGTGTCATTCTCCAATCGAAGGGATTTATTCCATCTCCCCTGAGGATGTGGGCCCTGCGTTTAGAAGGGAAAGGGAAAGATCTGGGAGCATGTGTGCCCTGCACAAGAGGCTCACGCTTGTGCCTGAGAACAAGGGAGCCTGGTAAATGTCACTGCTAGGGGGGCATGCATATGCCAACCAAAATGCTGTTCCTGTGTGGAAGCAGAGAATGTCCAGACATGGAGACAGCTGGTATACTCCAGAGGAATAAGCTGCCCTAGAGTGTTCCAGTAGCCTGGTGGCTGAGCTGGCGTGTACCCACATACGGTGCCCTACTGTGGGCCTGTGCAGATGGTACTCAACTCATGTCAGTAGGACAAAAGGGTAAAAAAGGAGTTCGGGCCCCAAGGGTTAATCAGGGCTGGAAGCCTGGCCTGGGAATCCACGGCAGCTAACACGGTATGTCGTCTTTCCTTCCCTTCAGCCTGTGGACAGCGGCTCTGGCTCTGATTCTCCACTGCTGGGAGCCGCAGCCAGAGATCGAGGCTGGGAAGCACCATGGCCAGAGTCCTGCAGGGCTCCCTGACGGCTCTCCTCCTGCTGCCTGTGGTAAGGGCCCAGAGCCTCCCTGCACACGTGTACTGAGTCTCCACCTGGAGAACCAGTTGTTTCTGCATACTGTCAGCCAAGCTGTCCCCTCCACTGGCATGTCTGTCAAATTCTGCCAACACTCACCGCCCCTCCCCCCTACACACACACTGCACCACTCACGGTTCTGTAGTGTGAATTAGATAAATGATTTTCCTCGACTGGTGCTGATTGGACTGAAACTTGTTACAGAATTTACAAGTCTATTAGGATGGTGACATGCGCGGTAGCATTTAGAGTTGCATAGTATTTGGATAGCTCAACTGTGTGCAGGGTCTCTGGTTAGGGCCACAGAATGGTCCTCTGGTTCCCATCTCATGAACCTTCTGACATCTAAACTCGGGGGCTTGTCCTCTGCTCTGATCTCTGTTGATCAAGGGTGAAGACCAGGAGAGAAGGAGAGTTCCATTTGGGCCAGAATGAGGCTGTCCTTAGAGTCCCTGGGACCCAGCCTCTTGATCTATATCTCCTTATGTGACAGACAGGCACACCCTCTCTCTGTAAGCAGCTGGGGTTGGACCTGTCTTGGGACATGACCCTTGGCAGCTCAGATCTTTGCCAAGGGAATCATTTCTGACCTGGGGATTGATGAAAATGAACTTTGTCATCTATCATGATAGCCGAGTGTGGCTGTAAAGTCCTTGGATCCTGCTGTAGGACCTGAACTGGGCTTTGTACCACACCCTCTCTGAGCCTGTCTCTCTTCCTCCGAAAGAGAGTGGTGAGGCCCGGAATCCTACCATTACCCCTTTGTCTGCTTCGGAAGGGCACCAGCTCCTGTGGCCCTCAGTTTACCACTTCTTGCCTCCCCCTAAAGTGCAGCAAGAGCCAACACATCAGATTCAAACCCTGTTACACCGCCATGTGTCTTGGAACAAGTTAAATAGCATCTCTACTTGGTTACACATCCGCAACAGAAAATGATGAAGATAAAACAAGCCCCTCCTTTGCAGTATTGATGGGCTTCTATCATGCTTGCACACACAGATGCTCAGCAGCTGGAGGGCAGCGCATGCAAGTGTTAATGTCACCATAGAGTGGTGGAGACTGAGGCTCAGGAGGCTGTGAGACCCACACACTGAGTTAGGGTCTGGGGAGAGTCCTCGTGGCATCTGTAACAAAGTAGATGTTGATGCCCCTGCTGGTCCTCCTTAACACTCTGCTTCTAAGTCAAACTAAGGGTTTTCAGTGGAGCTCCTTGTTCTCTCATTGTCCGTTCCTCGTGTCCTACAGGCTATTGCTATGCACTCTGACTGCATCTTAAAGAAGGAGCAAGCCATGTGCCTGGAGAAGATCCAGAGGGCCAATGACATGATGGGCCTCAATGAGTCCTCCCCAGGTGAGTGAGATGGTAGACAGTCCTGGTGTCCTTAGCACATGCAAGCTAGCTTTGCAGAAGTGGTGGGAGGGTGTGGGAAACTCTGGAGCCTGCAGAATGTCCTCTGAGAGCATGGTGTTTGACATCTGCTCTGCTCGGTGACACTGGGTGTCTCTCCTTGTGCCAGGCTGTACTGGGCTGTTCTGGGTAGCTTAAAGTGGCCACTGTTTTCTCTTGGGCTTGGTCTGGATAACAGCTGTCAACGAGCTTGTTCACAGGCCACCTGGGACCAGTGGCAGCAGGAATGCAGCTGTTACGGTGCTGTAGAGTATGCCAGCTGGAGACAAGGGTATGGGGTCAGTTTCTATCTGCTGGGTACAGCAGAAGCCAGGGCTGAAAGTGTAAGCCAACTTCAGGGTATTGGTTAATGTGGAATTCCTATATCATATGCTGGATGTGGACATCTTTAGCCCGTTCCCTCAAATAGTCCCAAGGATTACAAAAAGTGCCTCCTAACAGTTCATGTCCTGAGCGAGAGGCACAACTCCTGGTAAGACCCAGGGGTGTCTTCTAACTCCCCCTGCACGTGTAGGGGAGGTTGGGTGGACATCTTGGAGATGCCATGCTTTTCTCCTGGTCCTGTCCTGCAGAGCAGGCTGCCTAGGGGTGGGGCTCCACTCCATCCTGAGGGGTGTACCTAGGGGTGGGGCTCCACTCCATCCTGAGGGGTGCGCCTTTCCCTCGAGACTCACCCAGCCCTTCAGAGAACAATCTGCCTGAATGCGTGATTAATTCGCAGCCCAGTAAACAGAATTTCCAATGGGCCAGCCTTGCACCAGCAGCTCCTTCACAAAGCTTGACCAGGGGGAGGTGCTCCCAGCATGGCATGGCTGCTTCCCTGCCAGACCAGAAAATGGACTCCAGCCCGTACCAACTAGGAAAACTGAGGAAGGGGGCCGATGGGTACACAGTAGGAGGGTACACACTCTTATCGAAGTGACTCCTTTATCTTTGTGTGGGTGGCAGAGTGGGTCCTGAAGGCAGAAGCTATCCAGTGCTTCTGTACCATGTGGGCAGGCCCCATGCAGCCTGCCCCCTGACCTGGAGTCATTGGTTACAGACGGCCCCTCTCAGAAGGGGAAGGAAGAGAGCTGAGGAAGACATGCTGTATGAGGCTGTGGACAGCTTAATTACACTCCTCAGTTGTACACCCGGTGGAAGGATTTGACAAGACAGGCTTGCTCACAGGGTGTCCTTGTCTGAAAGCAAACGAGGACAGGTGTGAGCAGAACACTCATATAAGGAGGGGTGGGCGGGGATGGGAGGGGCTTTGAAGAAGAAGAGGTGAGCGGCCAGAAGGAGTGAGCAGGAAGGGCTAGAGTAGCTTGGAACACCACCAAGGGACTTTTTAGGAGAACATCCACAAGCCACAGTCCAGATTAAACTAGAATCTTGGCTTGACATAGTTATATGACATTCAGAAACTCCCAGGAGGTTCTGGTGAGAAACTAGAGCTATGAAAACCAGGGAGGAGGGGATGGGCATCAGCAGCGGGTGAGCCAGGACCCGTGGGAGAACACGGCAGGTGGGGGTGTTTGTAATTACTCCTACTTCATAGATGATGACACAGGCGCAAGGGAACCCCACACCTTGCTTAGGGACACAGTTCATTGCAAGTGGGACCTGGGTTTGAGTAGTCTCTGCCCTCAGTTGCTGCCTCAGGACAGCACGCTCTGAGGTCCGGCGTGACTTCCATATCACCTTTGAAGACGTGGAACAGCTCGGTTTTCTTAGGTATAATGGAGGGTGGATTAATATCTAGCAGCTGTCATCTTCAGGAAGCAGGAGGGCTTGAGGACCTCAGAGTCACTGTATCATGGTGTGGGAGGCCACAGACTTCCCACCTTTCTGCTAGGTCAGAGTTCTTCTGATGAGGTAGACACCATTTGGAACTCTCTGGAAGGGGTTTCTTAAAGAGAGGGGCATGTAGTCCGACTTTCTTTTTGGACTTTCTTGGACCGCCAGCCCCCAAATAATGATGTGGAGACTTATTATTAATTATAAAAGCTTGGCCTTTAGCTTAGGCTTGTTCCCAACTAACTCTTATAACTAAAATTATCACAGTTCTACTAATCTATGTTCTGCCGCATGGTTCTTTACCTCTCTTCCATTCTGTATGTCCAATTCCCTCAGTGTCTCGCTGGCTTCTCTCGAGCACTTAGATTCATTTCCAGTTCTTCTCCCTCCCATCCCCCTCCCTGGAAGTCCTGCCTAGTCTCTCCGGGCTAGCTATTGGCCATTCCACTCTTTATTAAACCAATCAGAAGGCACCTTTCACATAGTATGATCAAATATCCCAAACAGGAGAGAGTTGAGAACCAGCCCAGGCTTCAGGGAACTGAGGGAGGGAGGGAGGGAGGGAGAGAGGGAGGGAGGGAGGGAGGGAGGCAGAGCAAGCCTAGGTAGGGGTGGCTTAACGTGGGTGAGAACTGTGGGCTAGCACTTACAGAGCAGGTGCTAGCAGCGTGGGTTTGAGTCCTCAGTGTGCATGCCTGCACACAGCTGGTCAACCTCAGTCAGCTGCGGTGTTTCCTTCCACTTGAAGATGAGGTCGCCCACTCAGAGAACCGCTTTCTTGCTTCTTTGCCCATGATCTAGAAGTTCATGCCAGGGTGGGAAGAGCCAGTGGGTACTTCTGGAGAGGTCCAGAGATCCCAGCTCCCCCAATCCATGACACTGCAGTTGAAGAGTGAAAAGTCTCCCAGGTTCCTTTTTGCTGGACACATGAGGAGTCATGGAGGAGGAGAAGGTGACTTTGGGTCTGTGTTCAAGAGGGCCTGCCCTGCTCAGAGCTGAGCCCTGCAAAGGCAAAGGCTGTTTGCGTGAGTGCTGAAGAGGTGGAGGGTCTCATTAAGGAAGGCCAAGGGCAGAGGAAGGGGGCACCTTGGGAAGGCTGGGCTGAGTGAAGCATTCATCAAATCTGTGCCCTAAAGCTCCTGTGGTACACTCTGCTGCAAACAAGCATCTGAATAGGCGGTTTCCAGGCACCATGCCAGGGTTCAGGGGCCAGGACAGCTAACCCCTGCTGTCAGCCCCCTAGGGAAGGTCTTCATGTTTTCTGAGCCTCATATGAGCCTCATATGAGCCTCGTGCCTGCCTCTAGGGGTGTCTTCATCTGGGCCTTCGAATTAAACAACCTTGTGCCCCTAGAGCAGGGGGCATCTCACTGTACTTTGCAGTGTTGCTGAAGTCCCTAGGAACAATGTAAGGTAACCATGACCAGTCCTTTCCTACCTGCAGCCAAGGTCAGCAGCATCTGGGCCCAGGCTCCAAAGAGGTGTGTCCCCAGAGCCAGCCTCTACCTGATTGCAAAGTGTGTCGAAGTTTGACAACTCTAGAGAACCCTCTCCACCCCTGTGTCCCTGTGAGTCAGGCACGGAGCAGGTGAATCAGGCTCAGCTCTCAGAGTGGCATGGGATTAAGAGCTGGTTGTGTTGTTAGCCTTGGTTGGGGAGAGTAGGGATTGGTCAGCTGTGGTCTCTGTCTGCCTCTCCAATCATGTTGTCCCTGAGCACTTATCTGCACAGACACTGCCAGAAAGTAGTGGTGACCCTGAGACAGGCTTGAAAATGAAGAAGAAAGCTTGGGGGTGTGAGCTCAGGGCTGCTTTTATACACACACACACACACACACACACACACACACACACACACACACACACACACACACACACACACGTTCCCTTGCTTCTCAATGTCATGGCTACCCAAGGGTGGTATGGCTGGGCAGCCTCTTAAATCACCACACAGTGCAGGAATACAGACCTCTGTGGTCTAGTCAGCCACTGCACATGCTCGCTTTGTGCAGGCAAGAGACGGTAAACAGGAGATGTGTGAGAATATGTAGCATGCCTCAAAGCTTCACAGTAAAATTGAAAGTTAAGCGCACCGTGAAATAACGATAGAAGTACAGTTTATTAGATTCATGGGCCAAGAGTTTAGTCAGTTATCCTGTACCATACATAATGTGTGTGTACTGTGCTGTTTCACATGGCTGGCAATGAGGTGTGTGTTCCCACCAGCATCACCGCAAACACTCGAGTGACTTTAACATGGTGATTGCATCACTAGTGGCAGGGATTCCTCAGCTCTAGTATAAGGTTAGGAGACAGCCATGGCATATCTAGTGAGATGGGACTGTTGGAATGAAGGCCTGGTTTGTTGGAGGCAGGGGCCATGTGTGGTGCTGTGTGGTTGGGGATAACTGTCTTGGGGAGGCACCTGTATCTCCTCATCTTCCTGAACTTCAAGCGTTGGAAATACCACCCCATCATTTTGAGCGTGTGCTGAAGGCGTTTCTTGGGAAGAGGATCAGGGATGGAGGTATGTTTCACTGTTTTGTTTCTCATTCCAAATTCCTGGATCCTGCGTGGGACTCGGGCCAACTCTGAGTCTGGCTCTGCCGTATGACACATGAAGCCGTTAGAGCCAGAGGTGCTGGCACTGGCAAATCACATGGAGAGTCTCAGCCAGCTCTGGGTGGGTGCCCAGAGCTCCTGACTGGGGAGTTCCCTTTCTGCTGCACTGTAGCAGTGCCCTTGGAGGAGGAAGAGGACGGGGAGGTGGCCTGCTCTGCACCGGAACTGGGGCTGGTCTATGCACATCAGGCCATGTAGCTCCGTTCTTTGATCCCTCTGCCTTGTCTAGGTTGTGGCCAGCAGCACACCTCCTCCTTTGTGGGGCTCTGAGCTGTGAGCATTGGGAACCTTCCTGTGTTCAGGAAGAGCGGGTCTGGCTAGTCTTCAGTGAATGGCACGTGCTGAAAGAGATAGGCAAGGCCTGCAGCACTGTGGCGGGTCAGGAGAGACGCCTTCATGTGACCTTTCTGGACTTGTCCTAGGTAGAGTTCAGGTGCCTAGACCAGCCCTAGCCCCAGCCCCACCACCGACGCTGTTGGCCTTCCAGCTGCTCCAACACTAACCAGCCCCAATTTTGAGGAAGTAGGTGTCTACAGAACCCCTT